GTATTTACTGTTAACACTTTGGGGCCAAATATAGTGTACAGTACTAGTAATACTAGGTAGGACTTCGAAGTACTAACAGATACTCGTAGTATTAATAGTACAGTAGAAGTACTAACAGATACTAGTAGTATTAATAGTACAGTAGAAGTACAGTAGACACAAATACCGTGGAAAGATGTCAAAAGACCTACACTTTGAGGAATGCTGGTTGATTGGTAAATGTATCTGATTTCGCAGGCGATCGCACTATAAATCAAAAATCTAATTGGGTTTCTTACTGTTAAACCCAGTTGATTTTGCATTTTTTTGATACTAGTAATGTTATACGATAATCAACACCCCAAAGGTTGCAACACGGATTTGAAGTGTGTAGCCTGCAATAACTGCACTATATATGCCACGTAACATTACCTGGGGTAGACTTATACTTTAATGTGGTAAGTACTCACTACCAGTATGAACTATTTTGTGGTGCCCATCACAATGGTCATTTTTCGCACTTCAACTTGAGCGCATCTGTTTGAGATTCCACCTCTGCACGTACTGCCTACGGTAGTCATTTCATCATTCCTTCCCCGGATCGCCATGAGCTATGAGAAAACCCCGCTCTTCCAAGCTGTGACCAAGCCTCGCAAAGCCAAAGCCAGCTCGAAATCGGTGCTGTATGCCGTTGGGGCCCTCGGCACGTTGGCGACTGTGGGCACGATCTTGACCAGTCATCAATCGTCGACTGTAGTCGTGGCTCCAGTGTCCAACTTGGCGGTGGTAAACAACTCTGTGTTTTGCGACGTCACCAAGCAGCAATCTGGGTATATCAAACTGCCGCACAAGGTGGACGACAAGTACTTTTACTGGTTCTTCGAGTCGCGTTCGGACCCCGAGACGGACCCGCTGGTGCTGTGGCTCACGGGTGGTCCTGGATCGTCGTCCATTTTCGCGCTCTTGACTGAAAACGGCCCTTGCACTATCGACGCCGACTTGAACACGGTGCGAAATCCGCATTCATGGACCAACCACGCCAACGTGATTTGGCTGGACCAGCCCACGGATGTCGGTTTCTCGGTCGGCGATGACAAGGACGACGACCACAACGAAGAGGATGTGGGGCGCAACATCTACGGCTTCCTCCAAGGGTTTCTGAAGAAGAACCCCAAGTTCAAGTCCCATCCATTCTTCATCACGGGCGAAAGCTACGGGGGCCACTACGTGCCGTCCGCCGCCCACTACATTTTGAACCAATCGCCCGATAACGATGACGTGCATATCAACTTGAAGGGCATTTCCGTGGGCAATGGGCTCACGGACACTGTGACTCAAATTCCGTACACTGCCGACATGGTCGACAACGCGTACAACATCACGCTGGTGCCCCCCGCCGATGTTCCTGCGTTGAAAGAAGCGGCCAAAACGGTAGGGAAACTAGTTGAGGCATGCCAATCGCCTGTAAACGAAACCCAAACGTGCATTCAAGCCCTGGAAGCATGGAACGAACGTGTAATGGATCCACTGACCAGAGACTCCAAGCGCAACCCGTACGACATCCGCGAAGACTGCACGAACGGCTGCATCGACCGTATGAAGTACGGCCTCGTGTTTCTGAATTCGCCCGCTGTCCAAGCCAAGCTTCACGTCAACAAGACGTGGGCGTCGGGGTCGCCCCGAGTGTACCAGGACTTTTCCGTCGACATTATGAAGAACTACGTGCAGTTCGTGCCCGAGTTGCTGGCGGGGGGCGTCCGGGTCCTCATCTACGCAGGGGATGCCGACCTCATGTGCAACTGGATCGGCAACGAAGCATGGACCAAAAAGCTCGACTGGCCCGGCAAAGCCAGTTTCAATGCCGCCCAAGTCAAACCGCTGACGGTTAACGGCAAGAACGGCGGTCAAGTCCGATCCAGCCGCAACTTGAGCTTTGTCCGGGTGTACAACTCTGGTCACATGGTGCCCACCGACCAACCGGAAGTGTCGCTCGCGCTCATCAACCGATTTTTCAACCATTTTCCCTTGGACAAGGAACACCCAAGCGTCTAAATCTGGGCGATTTGGGGCAAGAAATATACTTCGTAGTCGTGTTGTAGTCGTATTGTAAATTGAAGCAGTTTGGTTTCCAACGGCGTTACATGCCACCAAGTTTCAAACTTACCGGTAATGCCATGTTGCTTTGAGTGGGAAGGTGCAAAGCCAGGGGGAACACTGGGTGGTTGCGGGTGAAACGGAAAGTGAATTAGCTTAGCTACCAGTGAGAACAACTGGCACTAAAGGCTCGACAGACTAGCTAATGGCTAGCCAATCAGGACACGGTATCCTAATGATGTACCGTGGATATGGCTGGCTATCTACTATCTGAGGAAAAGCCGCTAAAAGGCACAAAAACCTCCTACTAGCTGCAGCCAATGCTGCTATGGTGCAATTCACCTAAAGACTACAAATAAATGCCTTGACTTTCGACAGCTATTCCAACTTTGTATTGATATTATTTAGGAAAATATACCGTAATAACGATAGAACTGGACAAGCCCCATAGAAGTTACGGCTCAGATTTTCGATTGGTGAAAAATTGATTGAGTAATAGAATTTAAACCAACCTGCCTTTTTGTACGGAGATATATGGAACCAGGTACATTTTGGCCGAAAAGGAGTACCAAGTATATCTTGGTCTTTGTATACAGCACTTATCCGTACGAATGTTTTCATTGTATCCGGATTATTCACAATGGTTAACCTAAATACCAGGTAAAAAACGTAACTAATAATGATTTAACGTCAACATTTCGTGGGTTTAACTGAAAGAACCGAGGCGTTTAATAGTAAAACGTCTCCTCCTGAGGATGGCCAATCTGTAGTCTTTAGATGACTTGCACCATACCTGAGGCTTCAGG